CTTTCCCAGATAGGCTTCTGCAATTTCCTTCATCTTTGTCAGAACCATGGAGGACACCTCCTCTGGATAGAAACTTTTTGTCTCTCCTTTGTATTCTACTTGGACCTTGGGCCTGCCTGCATCATTCACCACCACAAAAGGCCAATGCTTCATATCAGACTGGACAACAGCATCATCAAACCTGCGTCCAATCAGACGCTTGGCATCTGTAAAAGCAATCAAATACGTTGGTTTCCAACTTCATTAGATTTTCATAGTCACACAAACGTCTAAGTTCTTAGTGGCAGGTGGAATTCAACTATTTCTTACATGTAGGAAAAGTTCACACAAACGTATTTTCTGAGGTGCCAAGACACCTCAATGTTAGCCTGAACAGTCACAAAACAGACTTTACACTAAACTAGCCTCACTGCATTCAATCTATTAAGAGGAGAGTTCCCCCATTCCTCAGGGCTTCCTCTTTGTTGCTACATTTTGACAACCTAGTTTCTTAAATGTTTCCATTTGCCCTCCCAGTTCCTGAATTTTCGAGAATTCGTGACTCACCAAAAACTGTGTTCGTGGGGTTCATTGCAACTTGATTTTTCGCGGCATCACCTATCAATCGTTCGGTGTCAGTAAAGGCAACATAACTTGGAGTGGTTCGGTTTCCCTGATCATTAGCAATTATCTCTACTTTTCCATGCTGGAAGACACCCACACAAGAGTAGGTGGTGCCAAGATCAATACCAACCGCAGGTCCCTTAGACATGGTTGCTGGAAAATCGGTAAGAAAAAAAAAAAAAAATACATAACATCGTGATTAAACATCCAGAGTTAACTTAAAATTGGGCTACAGATATGATCGACACCAGGCTCGACCTCTTTTCTGAGGTCAAGGAGGCGGTATAGTTCATACTGCAGTCCAAGTTTGCGTGCCAACCCTGGCAAATCGAGTCCCAGGTAGAAAGAGCCATTGCCCCCAGGGCCTGCAACGTTGCCGAGCCACGTGGCCAGCCCCGGCCTGAGCCTATCTCTCCTCACTGAAGGCCTAGGTGCCTGGAGTCACCACCCAGCTTGTTTTCTAACTACTCCAACCACCGCCGCTTCTTTGGGTAGCCGCCAAAAGCCGTTTCCTTCAAGAGATTAAGCGGGACGGACTACGCAGGAAGCCGGGAAAGCGCCAGCTCTACTTCCTCGCGCACCCCGCAGGCGGATGCCGCAACCCTCCCCCGCCACGCGGGCGCGGGGCGCCGCCCTGCCGACCCGGCTGCCAGCCAAGCCCGCGTCCCACGCGTCTGACCTGCCAGCTGCAGCCGCAGGCCGCTGCGACCCCCGTTACCGCCCCGGGTGGAAGAATAAAGCCGCCTAACGGGGCGAAAGGTCCACCACACGCTGCAGTCAGCCCAGGACTCAATCCCCCTCCTGGCTGCCAAAAAAAAAAATCACTCGGCCTGCGTCCAGGGGCGGACGATCTCCCAACAATTACCAAGCGCTTATACAAAAAACCCCTACCTTACTCGTAGAGTCGGCACGGATTAAGTAAAACACACAGAAGACCCAAGCGCTGCCACCGCGTTCAATGAGACCGGTTTCCGCCCGCCACCCCGTCTCTTATACCCTATCTCAGAACCTTCCAGAAGGGGACCGCCCCTGTTGGCTGCCCATCATGGCGGCTTTAACCAATGAGAGCCCGGCTGCCTTCACAAGGCCCAATGATGAGCCTGTATTCACTCCTCGGGCCCCGCCCCTTCCCGCCCCCACTCCACCCTACCCCGCCCCGCCTCGCGATGACGCACTCACCACAGCGTTCTGGAACTTTCATGCTCGTCCCCGTTCCCCGAACGGCCCCGGGAAAGGGAGGGTGGGGCCGAGAGAGTCCGCGCGCGGGAGTCCTCAGTCACCCCCGGCGGGGGAAGGGAGCGTTCGCCTCTGCGCCTGCGTCCTCATCCCGCGCGCGCAGAGGGGGGCGGAAGGAGGAGGAGGAAGAAGGGCGGGCCAACTTGAAACCAACCAATCGCGATGTTGGCCGGCGCGGAATCGCGAGAGGAATAGCGCGGGGCTTGAAGGGAGGGGTCTGGGCCTGGGAGCCCGGGAAGAGAAGTCGGAAGTGGAGCGAGGACAAAATGGCCGCGAAGGTTGTTGCTCCCCTCCTCCACCTGAGTCCGCTTTCCTCCTTCCCCACCCCCACACCCCCTCAACCCCGGTGCTCAAGACGGCTCTCTAAGCCTTCCCTGGGTCCGCGTGCCCACATTTCACAGCTAGAGTGGCTTCAGGTGAAAGTTGACCCTGAGGGGCTGGGGCGAAAGTTCCGGCTTCAGGCGCTACCGGGATAACTCAGACTTGAGCTTGCAGGGAGCCGCCAGGCAGCCCCGGCCTCGGACAGGTTAGCCCGGCGGGCCCCCCAGCAGCCTCATTTCGCTGTGGCGGCTGTTGGCCGGCAGCCGCCGCTGCAAAGGTTGGAAGGGCCCGACTTCTCAGGACTCGCCCAGACCCGAATTAAATGGCCAAACCTGCTTTTCGTGAGCCCAAACTTGCCCTGAGGCCTTCCCTACCTCCCGCCGAGAACACAGTGGGTTTCTAGGCTCAGTCCTTCCCCCACCCGCTCAAGCCCTGCACGTCTTCGTTTCAGTCAGAGAAAGAGGCTTAAAAGGCGGCTTTTTCGATGAGAACCAGGCGTTAGGAATCCTAATTTCCGGTAGCTCTCTGTCCTGGGTTTACACTTTCTGAGTTTTGCTTATTTTCAGTAACGTGAGGTAATAGCTTCCTGCCTCAGAAACGACACGACAAGCCGTGCACAGACTCTGCCTTGGCAGCGTGGCTGAGGTAGCGCACGGCAGTGGTGCCTGGCGGCGGGCCCTCGGGGCCATGTCATTCTCAGAGCCCGTCTCTGTACCCTGAACGCTGTCCACGTGTCCTTTCTAACCGGCAGAGCAGGTGGTGTCCCTGTTTAGTTCCCGTTTAGTGGATTGGTGGGCTCCGAAAGGTGAAAAATTTACGTATACCCGCAACTTTCAGTAGCCGGGCTGGAATTAAAACGTCTTTAGACAGTGTAAGGAGGCTGTAAAGAGAGGACACCATGTCCTTGTCAAAGCCCGTAACGCCTAGGGGCGGACTCCAATGTAAGGAAGTTTTCTTACTTCCCTTTTAGCGGGGAATGTTGGCTCGGAGTTCCTGGAGATAAATACTTAGTTAGCGTCGCCTTATTTCCTAAGAAGTTATGTTTTTACAGTCTTCCAGTTATTCACTAATGTATGTATTGCATTATTCATCCCTGTGTTAGGAGAAAAATGAGATTCAGAGATGTTATTTGTGGGACACAGCAAGCTAAAGTCAAGCCTAGGTTTCAGATTTCGAATTCTTCGGGGTTTTTTTTTTTTTTAATTACTTACACCGTAGTGTAATTTTCTTTCTGAAAATACTCACTTCAACTCCTAAAGGAGGAAGATGTGTATTCTGAGCTGCTCCTTTCAATTTTCTTTGATAACCTGGGATTTTTCTTTTCATACTCTGGATCTTAAAGTTTAACAAGTACATTTTCTGAACTACACGCTGCATTTTGCATTTTTGTAATTAACCTGTGAACTAAGTACATTTTAATCACCGAACCAGTGGAAAATTTAACAGGGGCCCACATCTTCTGGTTTAGGGTTATCCCATTCAGTAGCAGAAAAGAAAGCGGAACAAATAACTTTTGTTTCTGGTCACTCTCAAAATGTGTTCTAGGACTTCGACTATGTTCTTATTAAATGTGTGATTTAGAATTCATACACTTAAAGCTCCGAATATGAGGAACATCTTTTCTCCACCTCTTACCTTACACAACATTTCAAACACATTCAAGATAAAACCAAAGTTTGAGGGACTGCAGTGGAGGAGTCTGGAGCCTAGGGCTTCAGACTGGGGAATAGGATGGTAATTAATATTTTTGTGTGCTTATCACATGTCAAGCGCTGTTCTCAATGCTTTAAATTGTTACCTTGTTTAATTCTCATATCTGAGAGGTAGCCACTATGACATATCTATGTAACTATTATCTAACCCCATTTTGTGGATGACGAAACTAAGGCACTGAAAGGTTAAATGATTAGGCCACAAAGCCAAATTGTGGAACCTGGAATTCAAATTCAGTCTGGCTACAGTTCTGTCCTCTTAAAAACATCTGCTTTCAGGTGGTGCCTGTGGCTCAAAGGAGTAGGGTGCCAGCCCCAGTATTATACTGGAGGTGGTGGGTTCAAACCCAGCCCCGGCCAAAAACTGCAAAAAAAAAAAAAAGGACAACATCTGCCTTTAATGCCAGGCATGATGGCTCACATCTATAATCCTAGCACACTGGGAGGCCCAGATTGCTTGAGCTCAGGAGTTCAGAGACCAGCCTGAGCAAGAGAACCCATCTCTACTAAAAATAGAAAAACTAGCAGGGTATGGTGCCGGGCACCTAGAGACTAGGCAAGAGGCTTGCTCAAGCCCAAGAGTTTGAGGTTGCTGTGAGCTGACACCATGGCACTTCACCCAGGTGATAGACTAAGACTCTGTCTCAAAAAACAAACTGCTTTTTGCTCTCTAAAACACCTATATTAGTGTAAGGGTAAAAATCACATTAAAATGAATCCTAGATTGTGGCCTCAGATGACTATCAGGTTGTATCCTGCTTTGAGATTCCTTACCAGTTTTAAGCATCCATGCTTTTATTTGTCTGTAAGCAGCAGGAAAGAGTGGAAAGAGCAAGGACTTGGTTTGGAGTCAAATCTGGATTAGCATTCAAGCCATTTGCTAGTTATGACAGACATGATTTCACTTTCCTTTTTTGTAAAGCAACCCCCTCCAGGGTTGCGAGGATGAAATGAAGTAATGTAAAATATCTAATTGCTTGTCCTTTCAGACCCTTTATTCTCTGGGAGACTTAACTCTCTAAATATGGGGTCTAAACTCTCATCAAACTCTTGAAGACATTTAAGACCCATAAAATACAAGAACAACGGTCTTGCTGCTTACCATTGAGAGATGGTTGGATAAGGAAGATAGGAGAAACAGACTGGTGTTGCTCCATTTATGTTGTGGGTATAGGTGCCGATAGGATGTGAATAAATTCTTAAGCAAGTCATTTAATAGATAAAGTCAGCAACTTCACCAATATTCTGGGAGAAGGGAAAGAAAACCCTAGAATGATCATACCAGTGTAAAAAAGAACTAAAGTTTTATAGATACATTGTTTTATTAGAAATCATTGAAGTAAAAATCAGAGTACTATTAATTGAAGAAACTTCTAAATAGTTGAGTCACCACAATTCATTAAGCAATATGTAAGTGCCAGGTTAATCAACCTAGGGTAGATGGCTTTTAGCCTTTTTTTCTTTTGAAAAAGTTTAACGTTTAGATTTTTATTTTTTTGACACAGAGTCTCACTTTGTCACCCTCTGTAGAGTACCGCAGTGTCATAGCTCACAGCAACCTCAAACCCTTGAGCTCAGGTGATCCTTACTTCAGAATCTCAGATATTAAAAATAATCCTTGTACCCAATGTCATGACTAAAATGTGCAGTATATGTATGCCCTTATTGCTCAAAGACTTGAGTGTATCTGCTGCACTGCATTAGGGAAATTTGAAACCAGAATGACTTAAGCTGTTATTAATATTTTGACTTTCTAACTGTCATGTATAAAGTACTGCTATTGGAGAACAGCATACATTAAAAACAATCCCAATTTTTTTCTCCACCATATCTTGCCCAGTGCAGTGTTATATTGGTGGTAGAGCTCTTGTCATTGCCAATTTCATTAAAAGCTTTTGTACGGGGCAATGTGCTGAACCCTTAACATATATTTTCTTATGTGACCCTTACAACTGTAAGGCAGATCTTAATTGCCTTCATTTTCAGATAAATAAATTGAAGCTCAAATAAATGGAATAATTTGCCTAGCTGAACTTAGTTTTAACTAAGTTAGATCTGGTTTATTCCACAGTTTATTTTTTTAACTCTTAGGTTAGATCACTTTCCACTTTTAAGCTCCTTTTAAAAGGTGGTCTTGTTTAGCCCCTGCACTGTGGAGAGGAGGTAATGTATAAGTTGTGCTCTTTTTAATTTGTAAATTTTTTGCTAATTTAAATCTTTATCAAAGGGAGCTGGGCATAATATGCCTGTAATCCTAGCATTCTGGGAGGCTTAGATAAGTAGATCTCAGGAGAGGCATTTAGGAGTTCAAGACCAGCTTGAGCAAGAGCAAGACCATCTCTACTAAAAATAGAAAAAACTAGCCTAGTGTCGTGGATGGGTGCCTCTAGTCCCAGCTACTCTGGAGGCTAAGGCAAAAAGATCTCTTGAGCCACAAAATTTGAGGTTGCTGTGAGCCATGATGATGCCATGCCACTCTACCCATAGCAACAGTGACCAAAAAATAATAAGTAAATCTTCATCAGAGCTAGTTATAAATAGCAAAGCTCATGGAATTTTCCTTTTTTACAACATTTGCATACAGGAGTTATAACAAAAACAAGATACAAAAGCAAAAGGGAGAAAGAAGGTGAGGCCCAAATAGTTGTAAACATAATGACTCAATATGGGGTCTTTGAGATGTTTGAACTCTGAACATTTTCCATCAACTGATACGACCTTCAGAGAA